AGAAGAAAGCTTTAGCTGCATTTCTATGACTACAAAAGATGCTCTAAAACCATATTATAAGTGGATATTGCAGAGAAATACTTTTTTCATTAGCTAGTTTCATCCCAATACAGGTCCAAAGGATGTAGCATCTGTAGAGCATGTTTCCCTAATCACTTACTGTACAAGGAGTGTTATGTTCCCTTGTGAAATTCCTACAGTAGTTTGCTCATTTCTTCTCTTCTGGAATATTTCTGCTTCTTTCCATATATTTTATACAGCAATTTAGAAATTTTTAAAAGGAAAGTAGGGTATTTTCTTTTCCATTGCATCCTAGTTTAATTTAGCAGCCCATCTCATTATTCTTGAAGTCTTGATTGTGTATACTTTGGAAACCTCTCGTTAATTTTAAGCAAGCGTTGCTCAAATTTATGTCCAAATATGTTGTACTGTAAGAATTTATAATCATAAATATAAAATACTGAAAGATTACCTCTGAGGTCTTTCACTAAGCACAAATGAAATGCTGCTACTTACAGTCTAAAGAACTGATAATTTTTGCCATTCATTTGGATAACGTGCTATGAAGGAGTCTATTGTGGTCACATATTAAAGCTATAACATCATAAATGAATAAAACATCTTGGCCTTATTGCTTACATCAGCAAAAGCCACCCTCTGTAAAAAGACAGAGCATCTATTGAAGTAAAGAGCTGAAAAAGACAAAACTAAGCCAAGGTCACTTCTACCACTGTGAGGGGAAAAAGGAAAAACTGAATTGCAGATATCACTGTAAAAAGCACCTAATGTGCTACATAAAATATATCTTGTACATAACCAAGAGTAAAGGCATTTGCGTCATTAAAGATTTTGATGATTAAGGCCCGTTTGTAACCAAGATTCAAAGACTGTAAGAAAGGTAAGTTTTCTGATTTTGTAAGAAATTGATGTTTGTAGCACTGAAATACATTAAGAGATTGATGCATTCTTCAAGACCAAAACAGACTTTTTTTTTTTTTTTAAATATCGACTCTCTCTAGTTGGCATCAAATCAAAACTAAGGAAGCTATAAGACATTGCTTCCTCTAAGCCTTTTCTTCCCTAGAGGTCTAATAAGACAAGCTAGTAGGAGTCAGGTTCAAAACAAAATGTGATACAGCTGTGGAACCGTTGCCAAAAGATGCCTAAAGTGTTCTGGGATTCAAGGGGGAGAATAGGGAGAAAGAAGGCAGAGTACCTGAAAGAGAAAGTCATCAGGGGTTTATATGTTTATCCGAGTCAGGAAATCTTTTAATTTAAAAGTAGTTGAAGGCTATAAGTAACTAAGCTATAAGTACTCATGAGAAGTATATGGGCTCGCCCTGTTCTCATCTCTTTACTATATGCCTGCTTTTGGCCAATGCTAGGTCTGATGCAGGTTGGCCGCTGTTAGTTTGATGCAACTCCTCTGGCCTTCCCAGCTCTCAATTTTTGCAATTAACTTCTTACCCTTATTACTGTTATTAAGGGGGTATGTCTCCCGAGATATTTCAAGTATACATGTATGTAAGATATATGAGAGCTATGAGACAGCTCTCATTCTCCCTCAACTTGAGTCTGTGATAATTTCACTGAGAGAGAAGGAAAGATCTAAACCTCTAAGACTTCTGGTTTAGTTACTTAAAATAATCACTCTTAAGGTTTCAGTCATGAATTCATAACCAGCACACAGAACAAACAACACTGTTTATGAAGCTTCCAAGATAAAAAAAAAAAAAGCTTACAAAACATAATAAGCTATGCAGGTTTAAATATTTAAGTGCTTTTAAAAGGATACAAAAGATAAACAGTCTATATCTTAGAACTCCTGCAATAGTAGTAAAATCAGCATTTTGAATAAGAGACATACTTTTTTGACACCTGCCATTCCACACATCTGACCGAAGAACTGTAAAAGGAAGTATTCATAAGAACACTCTCTAGTTTGCATGTATAAATAAGTTCTTTATATAGAGGTTGTTTCTGAAATAAACACAATCTACTATGACAATACTGAGTATCAAGAAAGGTACCGCTTTATCTAAAATTCATCAGTAGTAAAAACCTCCATTTGAGACAGCTGAAAAGTACTCTCTACTGGCAATATTTCTGTTGCAATCAACTAGTAGATAATACAATAGTTAAGGTCAGTCATCACATTTTAATTTTTCACCAAATTTTTTCCAGGTCTTTATCTAGATGGGGTATTATAAAACAAGTAGCGAATTCTTTTGAGTAACCGAGCAGTGGTAAGCATAAAGTTAGGTCACACAGGTCTAAGGGGGGAAAAAAAAAAAATCCCATGAGCATTTAGAGCTAGTCAGTTTAAGCTGTTCAAATGGTGCTGAGTGTGACTGAAATAGCTTTAAAATTTGACATACATTAAAATGTTAACAAATACTCCACTTCCAAAATACCACATACTGCTATGGAAAGGCATGCTTTTTGGCAGCATTTTTTTTAATTGCTGTCACCTCGTTAGGTATCCAGTGTACTGTAACAGAAGTGCTGTGAAGGTAGAGCGCTATGCTAGCACACTTTCACCAGAAAAAAAAAAAAAAAGTTATAGCTACACTTTTTTCTGTGCTACTCATTTTCAAGTTGTGAGAAAAACAAGACAAAGCAAAAAGCAAAAAGCAGTGCAGGCTGCGTGCACGGCAAGGAACAAGGGGAAAGTTTATCTCAGAGCTGTTTCTTCCCCTGCCTTTGATCCTTTACAGTCTGATTTCTGCTCTCAAACTGAGCCTTCCTGCTCCTAGTGGCTTTGTATGGAGTTAAGTACTGTATTTTAATTGACCCACACAAACTGGACAGTCACTAAACTGAAGATGCTGTTATTTTAGGATTCTAATCATCTTGTACCTCATTCTGCCACAGGTGAGACTGTAGTGCAAGATTTACTTTACATTGGACTAATTATGGGAAGTTTGCATCAGTAAGATTAATTCAGTGGTAAGTCATATTTAGGTGGACTCAGTTTTATCACAGTGTTCATTTCCAAAATATCATCAATAATTCATCTACCCTGAGTACAGCCTCCACATTCATTTTTACTTGTGCATTTATTGACGGAAATTCACTGTCAACAACAAATTTAGGATTCAAGTCATAGGACTGAGAAGAGGTTATATTCAAGCTGATCTTCAAGCAACAAGAACAGAAAGTAGCAAGCATATTGCTACTAAACCTTAAAAGCATGTCTAAATGCCACACTAATTAAGACTTGCTCAAAGCAGTCACCCTGCTTTCGTGGTCAGAAATCTAAACAAACCAACCAAGAGGTCAGAAGATCTCTAAGAACAAATACAATCAGAAGGGCAGAATGAGTTGACAGAAAAGGGCAGAAAGCGAAAAAGAGTAGCAAACTATTTTTCCTGACCACAGGACGTTATCTCTCAGTATTTATTGCCTATGGAAAAAAAAGAGTTTTTCTTCAACTTATGGATACTTAGCATACCTAACTAGTATGCAAGGCCACTGTCCTAAATATTTAAGTGAAGCAAGCTCAAGAGAGGTACGGACCACAAACGAGCTCTTTAGACCTAAAAAGAGGCTTACTGTTTATTTAAACACCACCATTCTCTTTCAAGTCCTAGTATTTTTCTTCTCTGATTGCTGAAGTTCTTTTTCGTTTTCATCATCAGCTGTGCTGGAGCCTCTCTTCCCCCTCTCCCTGCCTTGACCCTCTACGTGGGTATTTTATTAGCCGAAATAGTACGAGTTATCTAACTCTCCCATCCCTCCACTCTAACATGTAAATTAATTAATAACATTTGTACAATTGCAGAGAAGATAAGTTCTACAGAAATCAGTGTTACATAAACTATTCCAGTATCCAAGGCAGAAAATACAGAAAGCTGTTTTCAACCTCAAGAATGATTAAAGTACTTTTATTCCCGTTCAAAACATACAGCTTTGAAAAGTGACGCATCATACAGGCAAATATGAATTGCATTTAGTGTCATGATCTCCAGATACTCTTTTGCTGGTGAGTATCAATGTAATGTCAGCACTGTTAACTTATAGCCATAGTAAAAATTCTTCAGAAATAAATATTACCTGATATGGCAGTTTTTCTTTAAACACTTACATTTAGAAGTCAATTTCAGTAGGCCTCTTCCTCCCAAATGGTGTTTCTTGTTCCTACAGAGGGAAAAAAAAACCTCATAAAACAAAACAGTATTCCACCACAAACATCCCCAAAAGGACAAAAAAAGGTCTATGTCAGCTATTTTAGAAATGACATTCAAGATGCAAGAGTCAATTTCACAAAGTCAAAAATAACTCATTAAAGCTAACCTCACTGCTCAAAAGCAGTGAGTAATCTCACTAACAATGCCATGAATCTTGATGGTTTTTAAGTAATTTGAACAAAGCTTTAGAAACCATTGAAACAAATTATAGTTAGTACAACAGTACGGTTAAAAAAAACACACACACACACTATTGGAACTATTAGAACTATGACAAGGAAGCATGGATTAATAAGAGTCTAACTTTACAGGCCCTCAGAAAAAGCACCATTAGAGACAAATCTTTATGGCAGGGGTTTGATAGATTTTTAAAAAAGCATATTAACTTCATTTAAGCGGCATAGTACTGCCCCCTGCAGGGTACAAAATGAAATCCATTGCTCTACTCTGATTTCAAAGAGCCAAATGTAACTACTGCACCATCTAGTGTTACCTACAGAACACCAGAGATACTGGAGGCATTTTTAGACCAAGAGAATAACATCCCTGCTCTGCAGAGCCTGCAGTCTTAGCTAATATACAAACACAGTGGGAAAAGAATGAGACTCAAACATCAATAAGTAATGCATAGTACATTAAATCACTTAATAGATGGGTAGGAGATAAGAATGACGTGGGGCAGGGTGTTAGCTGTTGAATCTTACACTCTGCATGAAGCGTAGAAAAAATTCAGATTGAGCCCTAGTTCAACGGAAGCCGACGTCATCACTTTTGTACCAGGACGGACTGGAGAGAAAATGTTTATCGCTATGTATTAGAAAATAAAGTTATTAACAGCTTGCTATCATATCCTAACTTGAGAGAAAAGTCAACACAAGTATTTTAAAGTTGATAGTTTTTATTTACAGTTTTGTTGGCAAAAGGTGGTGGGAAAGTTTAAAACATTTTAAACAGAGGGCACCATATTGTATTGTATGATGTATCAGTTCACAATCTGTATCTTCAGAATCCAGCTGATCAAATAAAGCTAATCAACACTTAAAGAAAGCATAATCTGCATCAGCTCCATTACAGTATACTGCCTAAAACCACTTTAGGCAGTTTCTAAATCAGCATAATCACTATTAAATATGCAGTTTGGGTGAAGAATGTTCATTTTGATTTTATACTGTACCTGGTATCAACTTGCCCACTTACATTTGCATACTGGCAAAGCAGTTACACTTCCTACTTTTAGTTGAAAGTTATAATCTCTTTTTCTGCAGAGTCAGCTGTCAGATTATTATGAACTACTCTGAATATTTTACTGTGAGCATAGTCAAGTGTGGAGTAGATGAGATTGAAGGAAAACATTCCTGGTATATGATGTGCCCTTCAGAATCAGCTGGATAACCATAAACATCCTGTTTAAGAATTCTAGTCAAAAGGGAAAAAAAAGTGTAGTCAGTTTTCACTTTGTCACATAGATTTCAATCCCCATTTGAGCTTCTGCATTCATTCTTCTAAATCAAGAGTGTTTAGTTCTTCTTCTAGTTCATCCAAGTCCTCGCCAGTAAAGAGATTTTCATCAACTGGAACTGCATCGATCACTCCATTTTCCAGTTCCCCGTCTCCATCATTATCTTCCTCTAAATCATTTTGCTCACTGTTGCTTATCTCACCACCAGAAGCTTCACTTAATTTATTATCTGAAAATAAAAATAATTCTTATATATCTCTGAATGTCACAAATTTTAGGCAATCACTAAATCACAGTTGTGCTAATGAGGCTCTTAAGTTCTGAAACTATATAAAGAAGTGACTTCATTTGAAATTTGTGGACTTTATATGCTAAATTGCATGCATCTGATTAATATGCAGGTTTGGATTATTTATTTTTCTACCTGTTTTAATAATTACTCAAATGCTCAACTCCTCAAATTCCTATTTTCACTACCAGTCAAACCATTTACAAATGATTCCTACTAAACATCTGCACTTAAAAGACTCAGTTTAAGATCAGGGCATGTGTTCCACAAGCGCGGCAAGATCAAGTTGCTGTTTAAGAAATTACAAGCCAGTTTAAGTTTGCTAGAAAGTATGAAGAAAAGTTGAGATTTTTGTTGGTATTTCTTTTTTCCTATTTAGTAAACTGAATGAATAAAAATGCTAAAATAATCCCAGATATCTCAGGAATTTATATAAAGTGGACATACACATTGCCTTTTATTTAAATTTGAAATCACGGTATTACAAAGCACATGGCATTTCCTAGAAGCTTTTTGTTTAAAAAGTCTCTGCTTAGAGACTAAAAGCATCCTGCCTTTGCAGAATAAAGTAATAACTACAGATATCGTGACAGTTTTAATAAAGGAAAAAAAAAAGCTGCTTTTTGGCAACTGCAGAACCTATTTCTATTTGCCTTCTGAGAAGTCCTTTACAATTCAATCCCTTACTACCTACACCCAAATAATAAACTCACCGTCTTTCTCTATTGAACTGTATGTGCTGAATCGCTCTGGACTAGCCACAGTAATACCAGTCTCATCCACAGCCTTTGGAACATACAGGCTCAAATCCACATCATTTATGCACATAGGGTCTTCTACCTGTAAAAAAGTAAGTTTCGACAAAATATACTCTGTAACAATGGTAAATTAAAAACTAAGCGTGTTAGTTGCACTATAAGAGCTCTCAAAATTTTTTTGTAAGCCTATTAAGAAATAGAAAAAAGTTTCAAAACTTGGAACGTAACCTGAAATTTAATACTGTTCTTTACCTCATCATCTTCTCCCGTTCCTTGAGTATACTGGGTGTCATCTGCTTCTTCATCATCTGCATCAACCAGCTCAGGTCGGAACTCAAATACTTCACGTCCACTAATCTATTCAAAGACAGAAGAACAAAATTTATCACTTCATAGAATTTATACTGCTGTTAAAAAACAAGCAAACAAACAAACACACCCCACCCACACAATTCCAGGCCAGCTACCTTATTACATAACTTGTGCACTCTCTCTTCTTACATTAAGAATTGAAGTGTAGAACATACCACCAGTGCTTTGCCAGCTTTAAAATCTGCTTTCCTCCTTTCCATATCTTGCTCAGCCTTATCAATTTTTTCTTGTCTTTTTCTTCTCTTCCATGCAATAAAACACTCTAGAGTGATTTTGGTAACATTTGGTCCTAAGGCAGCACGCTGTCAAATAAAAAGACTGATTAATGCTAATTTGTTATAGCCTTTGGAAACAATTTTTAAGAGATTTAATTAGTCTTCTCCAAACACTAATTGAAAACGCTTCTTCCTAATTCCTTCTGCACTTTTACCACTGTTAAACATGTGCCGTCAACTTAAAAGTTTGACCCAGCACATGATTTTCCAGCTAGAGAGATTTGTCAACATAAAGTTAACATGAAACATGGAGGAAGAAAGAAACCAACAGCCTCTAGTAGACATATTAGCTTAGGTTCTGCTCAGATTGACACTACCAGACAATGCTGCCAAATGTACATAGAGAGCAGCAGTGTCTTCAGGAGGCTCTGTTCTCTTGCTGTTGCTCCCTCATGAGGCAGCTATGAAAGAATTAGCAGGCAGCAAACTGGGGATTAAAGAGGCCCATTGAAGCAGTGGTTACAGATAAACAAAAATAGCAATAAGAAATAAAAGGCCCCTAAAAATAGGAATAGCAATTCCTGCACTAACGGTAAATATTCCATTACAATTTTTTAAAACTTATTGTCTAGATAACAGCTTCTAAACAAAAACATGATGATTCAAATACAATGCATGCCTCACCCTAGTCCATATAGCTACACAAATAACACTTTATACTTTTTAATTATTCATTAGGAATTTATTTACAATTTGCTCTTCTTTTCAGAGCACTGAAATCAAATTGCCAGCCAGGTACCTCCTGGTGGTACTTTACCTCTTTTTCTATTAGATCTTCTAAAGAAATTTCATCTTGCTTTTCCTCCTTCTTTTTGTCTTTTTTTAACACAAAACCTGGAGGAAGAGCATGGCGATACATGCAGTTGTCTCCTCCCCCTGGACAGACCCAAAACCATCCGTATTTGTTGTTTTCGATAGCATCAAGAAAATACTTGCAGACCTGCATAAAACAGTGGTTGTTAGCACTACATTCTGTTTTTTTTAAGTCCTCCAACAATTTACACTAACAGCCCATGTTAAAAGTACTGTATTTCAAAGCCAGTTATGCTTAAAACAGAGGGTAAGAAGGAACGTGAAATGCACAACTATTAAAAAAAGCAAACACAAGCAGCAACTAATTACCTAAATAAACTCAGGTTTTCAACAGTTTTTCCTGCTTACTATAATCCAAACTTAGAGAGACAGGATAACTCAAAAAGACTGGCAACTGCGTACTGCTGTAAACTCAGCAGCATATGCACAAAGCATGCTGGCGATCTTTCTTACTGCTCATACGCATTGGTGAATTGTTTAATCAAAAGAGAATCAATCTCAGAGGTTATACCTTCCTTAGGAGCTTGACGTAAAGATACCATTCTGGAACTTTAAACAAGCAATTCATAATTAAATATTCTGTTGATACTGCCTAAATCCACAAAAATTAAACTTTGATATGGCTAAGTTAATTATTTGGTATGGAAAACAAGATGAAATAGTTCTGAAGAATGAAAGAAACTAAAGAATACTCTTTAATTTAGAGGCTAGGGACTACTAATGACCTCTCAATCAGTAAATTTTAGCTTGCAGGAAATGACTGAAATTTATGTACTTATATGTCACTCAGTACTCAAATGGAATGAGATGACTGACCTAGCTGACCAAAATATTCCAATCTTCTAAGCAAGCAGAATGTATTGGATACATTATTAATCCTTTTAGCCTTTTTATTTTAGGAGCACTTCAACTAACCTTCATGTGTATTCTACATGAAAAAATACATTATGACAACTCAGTATTGTACTTTGAGAGACATTAATAGAAATGCTATCAGCCCCATTTTATACTCAGATTAATTTTACAGTATTCCATTCATCATCTTCAGATATGAATAAGCACACCTAATACCAGCGTGCACTTAATCCTCTCTATTTCTAACAAACATTTACTACAGCTCAATGCAAAAAAAGGACATACTATTTGAGTTTTGGGTTTTTTCTTTTCCGCCTCACCGTGCTTCTTGTTCACCACCTCTTCCAGCTTCTTCTCATCCCAGTTATCCATTGTATCTAGAAGACAACAAATGGTTTCACAGACATCCCAGATTAATATTTGAATTTTTATTTGAGAGAAAAACAACTTGACATTATTTTCAACTAATTCTTACATTTTAGTTGACCTACAGAATGGAAAATAAATTCAGGCTTTTGTAATACAATTTTCACTCTCCTGTGCTGTTTAAAAGAGATTTTTGTCAGAAACTTTGTAAGTTTATATTTTGATGTGCATAAAGGGTGTTTCCATAAAGAACTAACAAATGTAACATTCCACCTGTATGTTACTTGGAGCAGAGAAAGGAAAAGCAGAAAAGAAAGGAGATGAATAAATAAAAGAGAAGGTTGGAGGTAGACGCCCACAAATACAGATAAAATAACTTGAGCAAAAGAGATCATTCTGAATTTTCTGTGTTAAAAGAACGTGCCATCAAAAGAAGCATGATTACCAACAGTTACAGTAATGATGAAATTATGAGATATTGCTATATTCCTTCAGGTTGCCAGAGGCTAAACATTCAAATCAAGACAGGGCATGATATATTGTGGAAACAGAAAAGAGTTTTAATACAAATTCCTAGCC